TGCAAGTGGCGGACACAAATCATAGGCATGCAACTCAGTATCAAAGGGCCTAGTACAGCTTAGTCTGACATGTGAGAGCACCGCACAGCGATTGTCCGGGCGGTTTTAGCACTTTTTAAATGTGCATTAACTGTATTACGTATGAATCATGACCAGTGACGTATAACTTCATGCCCAGCACAGTCTGTTCAAAGAAGCTGGCAGAACTCAACTTCAAAACGTCCACTTGCCATGTTCTGAGCGCAACAAAAATAATTGTCTGAGTTTCTACAGTCTCACCATTTTGAACTGTCCTTCCGAAACCCCATCGCGCGTGATAATCACCAATTCAGGGAGTGTTCCGTTACGATTGGCGCAGAAGAGTTTCAATATCCAGGCCATTCGCTCTTCAAGAATTACACCAGTCACTTGTTCTCTCCGGGGCGCTTGATATGAATAATCACCGACAAATGTTTCCGCGCACGCAGCCCCATTGAAACTGATCTAAAGCGAACTTTTATTAAGGGCAACAGTATTACAATCACATAGCAGCGACGAGTTTTGCCGCAGACAGACGCAGTGAGTAAAAACGAACCCCAAGAACACTTGGCTGACAAGGCGTCATTCCCAGTCTTCTTTCGTATTTCGATTGCGGATCCGGATGACAGACATCGTAACCAATGATCAGCGTCTTCCCTGTCGAAATCCATTTGTTGCTGCTTAAAATTTTACTTCATCTCAGTACAAAGACCCGCCAATCCGGTCATATCCCAGCATCCAAAATGGCTCCAAATTAAAATGACTTACGCAAACATTTCAGGGACGATACCATAGCACTGCCCAAAATTTTTGCAGTTCAGTTTATTAACGATATTTTCCAGCGTACTGGATTTTTTCGGCGCCTCGCGAGCCACTCTTCCATGTACATGCTGTGTAACAATGCGGTAAAGAACTTCCAGCAGTTTCAAATCATCTGAAACTGTTTCAAATCATTCACGCGTACTCCTAGAGCCTACTCATGCGCCCGCAGTAACTGAAAAAAAAGAAGAAACCGTGCGTGTCGTCGCGAGAATCCACGTACATAACAAACGCACGCTGGTTACGATATTCTGCACGAATCTGCTTAAAGAATTCTTCCAAATCTTCGAAAGCCACATTTCTGATAACTGGATATACCATTTGTATTCCTTTCTTGCTGCACTCATTTATCAAGGCTTCGGCGAAATTTCTAAAACGCTTCACCTCATCATAAAATGAACAGCGGACGACGCGCAAATCAACTACTAATTGCTTCAACAGCTCACAAAGCAATACATCTTCTTCGCAGAACGCAAAAACAGGGACATGACAATTT